CTAGTCTATAGTCTAGTCTATAGTCTAGTCTATAGTCTAGTCTATAGTCTAGTCTATAGTCTAGTCTATAGTGAAGTCTATAGTCTAGTCTATAGTCTAGTCTATAGTCTAGTCTAGAGTCTAGTTTATAGTCTAGTCTATAGTGAAGTCTATAGTCTAGTCTATAGTCTAGTCTATACTTTTGTCTACAGTCTAGTCTGTAGTCTAGTCTATAGTCTAGTCTATAGTCTAGTCTATAGTCTAGTCTATAGTCTAGTCTAGTCTAGTCTATAGTCTAGTCTATAGTCTAGTCTATAGTCTAGTCTATAGTCTAGTCTATAGTCTAGTCTATAGTCTAGTCTATAGTCTAGTCTATAGTCTAGTCTAGTCTATAGTCTAGTCTATAGTCTAGTCTATAGTCTAGTCTATAGTCTAGTCTATAGTCTAGTCTATAGTCTAGTCTATAGTCTAGTCTATAGTCTAGTCTATAGTCTAGTCTATAGTCTAGTCTAGTCTAGTCTATAGTCTAGTCTATAGTCTAGTCTATAGTCTAGTCTATGGTCTAGTCTATAGTCTAGTCTATGGTCTAGTCTAGAGTCCAGTCTATAGCCTAGTCTAGAGTCTAGTTTATAGTCTAGTCTATAGTGAAGTCTATAGTCTAGTCTATAGTCTAGTCTATACTTTTGTCTACAGTCTAGTCTGTAGTCTAGTCTATAGTGTTGTCTATAACCTAGACTTGTCTATTGTCTAGTCTAGTCTAGTCTATAGTCTAGTCTATAGTCTAGTCTATAGTCTATAGACTAGTCTAGTCTATAGTCTAGTCTATACTTTTGTCTACAGTCTAGTCTGTAGTCTAGTCTATAGTGTTGTCTATAACCTAGACTTGTCTATTGTCTAGTCTAGTCTATAGTCTAGTCTATAGTCTAGTCTATAGTCTAGTCTATAGTCTAGTCTATAGTCTAGTCTATAGTCTAGTCTATAGTCTAGTCTATAGTCTAGTCTATAGTCTAGTCTATAGTCTAGTCTATAGTCTAGTCTATAGTCTAGTCTATAGTAGTCTATAGTCTAGTCTATAGTCTAGTCTATAGTCTAGTCTATAGTCTAGTCTATAGTCTAGTCTATAGTCTAGTCTATAGTCTAGTCTATAGTCTAGTCTATAGTCTAGTCTATAGTCTAGTCTATAGTGAAGTCTATAGTCTAGTCTATAGTCTAGTCTATAGTCTAGTCTATAGTCTAGTCTATAGTCTAGTCTATAGTCTAGTCTATAGTCTAGTCTATAGTCTAGTCTATAGTCTAGTCTATAGTCTAGTCTATAGTGAAGTCTATAGTCTAGTCTATAGTCTAGTCTATAGTCTAGTCTATAGTCTAGTCTATAGTGAAGTCTATAGTGTAGTCTATAGTCTAGTCTATAGTCTAGTCTATAGTCTAGTCTATAGTCTAGTCTATAGTCTAGTCTATAGTCTAGTCTATAGTCTAGTCTATAGTGAAGTCTATAGTCTAGTCTATAGTCTAGTCTATAGTCTAGTCTATAGTCTAGTCTATAGTCTAGTCTATAGTCTAGTCTATAGTCTAGTCTATAGTCTAGTCTATAGTCTAGTCTATAGTGAAGTCTATAGTCTAGTCTATAGTCTAGTCTATAGTCTATAGACTAGTCTAGTCTATAGTCTAGTCTATACTTTTGTCTACAGTCTAGTCTGTAGTCTAGTCTATAGTGTTGTCTATAACCTAGACTTGTCTATTGTCTAGTCTAGTCTATAGTCTAGTCTATAGTCTAGTCTATAGTCTAGTCTATAGTCTAGTCTATAGTCTAGTATATAGTCTAGTCTATAGTCTAGTCTATAGTCTAGTCTATAGTCTAGTCTATAGTCTAGTCTATAGTCTAGTCTATAGTCTAGTCTATAGTCTAGTCTATAGTCTAGTCTATAGTCTAGTCTATAGTCTAGTCTATAGTCTAGTCTATAGTCTAGTCTATAGTCTAGTCTATAGTCTAGTCTATAGTCTAGTCTATAGTCTAGTCTATAGTCTAGTCTATAGTCTAGTCTATAGTCTAGTCTATAGTCTAGTCTATAGTCTAGTCTATAGTCTAGTCTATAGTCTAGTCTATAGTCTAGTCTATAGTCTAGTCTATAGTCTAGTCTATAGTCTAGTCTATAGTCTAGTCTATAGTCTAGTCTATAGTCTAGTCTATAGTCTAGTCTATAGTCTAGTCTATAGTCTAGTCTATAGTCTAGTCTATAGTCTAGTCTATAGTCTAGTCTATAGTCTAGTCTATAGTCTAGTCTATAGTCTAGTCTATAGTCTAGTCTATAGTCTAGTCTATAGTCTAGTCTATAGTCTAGTCTATAGTCTAGTCTATAGTCTAGTCTATAGTCTAGTCTATAGTCTAGTCTATAGTCTAGTCTATAGTCTAGTCTATAGTCTAGTCTATAGTCTAGTCTAGTCTAGTCTATAGTCTAGTCTATAGTCTAGTCTATAGTCTAGTCTATAGTCTAGTCTATAGTCTAGTCTATAGTCTAGTCTATAGTCTAGTCTATAGTCTAGTCTATAGTCTAGTCTATAGTCTAGTCTATAGTCTAGTCTATAGTCTAGTCTATAGTCTAGTCTATGGTCTAGTCTAGAGTCCAGTCTATAGTCTAGTCTAGAGTCTAGTTTATAGTCTAGTCTATAGTCTAGTCTATAGTCTAGTCAATAGTCAAGTCAATAGTCTAGTCAATAGTCAAGTCATAGTCTAGTCTATAGTCTAGTCTATAGTCTAGTCTATAGTCTAGTCTATAGTCTAGTCTATAGTCTAGTCTATAGTCTAGTCTATAGTCTAGTCTATAGTCTAGTCTATAGTCTAGTCTATAGTCTAGTCTATAGTGAAGTCTATAGTCTAGTCTATAGTCTAGTCTATAGTCTAGTCTATAGTCTAGTCTATAGTCTAGTCTATAGTCTAGTCTTTAGTATAGTCTATAGTCTAGTCTATAGTCTAGTCTATAGTCTAGTCTATAGTCTAGTCTATAGTCTAGTCTATAGTCTAGTCTATAGTCTAGTCTATAGTCTAGTCTATAGTCTAGCCTATAGTCTAGTCTATAGTCTAGCCTATAGTCTAGTCTATAGTCTAGCCTATAGTCTAGTCTATAGTCTAGTCTATAGTCTAGTCTATGGTCTAGTCTAGAGTCCAGTCTATAGTCTAGTCTAGAGTCTAGTTTATAGTCTAGTCTTTAGTGAAGTCTATAGTCTAGTCTATAGTCTAGTCTATACTTTTGTCTACAGTCTAGTCTGTAGTCTAGTCTATAGTGTTGTCTATAACCTAGACTTGTCTATTGTCTAGTCTAGTCTATAGTCTAGTCTATAGTCTAGTCTATAGTCTAGTCTATAGTCTAGTCTATAGTCTATAGACTAGTCTAGTCTATAGTCTAGTCTATACTTTTGTCTACAGTCTAGTCTGTAGTCTAGTCTATAGTGTTGTCTATAACCTAGACTTGTCTATTGTCTAGTCTAGTCTATAGTCTAGTCTATAGTCTAGCCTATAGTCTAGTCTATAGTCTAGTCTATAGTCTAGTCTATAGTCTAGTCTATAGTCTAGTCTATAGTCTAGTCTATAGTCTAGTCTATAGTCTAGTCTATAGTCTAGTCTATAGTCTAGTCTATAGTCTAGTCTATAGTCTAGTCTATAGTCTAGTCTATAGTCTAGTCTATAGTCTAGTCTATAGTGAAGTCTATAGTCTAGTCTATAGTCTAGTCTATAGTCTAGTCTATAGTCTAGTCTATAGTCTAGTCTATAGTCTAGTCTATAGTGAAGTCTATAGTCTAGTCTATAGTCTAGTCTATAGTCTAGTCTAGAGTCTAGTTTATAGTCTAGTCTATAGTGAAGTCTATAGTCTAGTCTATAGTCTAGTCTATACTTTTGTCTACAGTCTAGTCTGTAGTCTAGTCTATAGTCTAGTCTATAGTCTAGTCTATAGTCTAGTCTATAGTCTAGTCTATAGTCTAGTCTATAGTCTAGTCTATAGTCTAGTCTATAGTCTAGTCTATAGTCTAGTCTATAGTCTAGTCTATAGTCTAGTCTATAGTCTAGTCTATAGTCTAGTCTATAGTCTAGTCTATAGTCTAGTCTAGTCTATAGTCTAGTCTATAGTCTAGTCTATAGTCTAGTCTATAGTCTAGTCTATAGTCTAGTCTATAGTCTAGTCTATAGTCTAGTCTATAGTCTAGTCTATAGTCTAGTCTATAGTCTAGTCTATAGTCTAGTCTATAGTCTAGTCTATAGTCTAGTCTATAGTCTAGTCTATAGTCTAGTCTATAGTCTAGTCTATAGTCTAGTCTATAGTCTAGTCTAGTCTATAGGTCTAGTCTTAGTCTAGTCTATAGTCTAGGTCTATAGTCTAGTCTTATAGTCTAGGTCTATAGTCTAGTCTATAGTCTAGTCTATTAGTTAGTCTATAGTCTAGTCTATAGTCTAGTCCTATTAGTCTAGTCTATTAATCTAGTCTATTCTGTATTCTAGTCTATAGTCTAGTCTATAATCTAGTCTATAGTCTAGTCTATAGTCTAGTTTATAGTCTAGTCTATAGTCTAATTTATAGTAGAGTCTATAGTGTAGTCTACAGTCTAGTCTATACTTTTGTCTATAGCCTAGACTTGTCTATTCCTAGTCTAGTCTATTGTCTAGTCTATAGTCTAGTCTGTAGTCTAGTCTATAGTCTAGTCTATAATCTAGTCTAGTCTGTAGTCTAGTCTATAGTCTAGTCTATAATCTAGTTTATAGTCTTGTCTATAGTCTCGGCATAGTCTAATTTATAGTCGAGTCTATAGTCTAGTCTACAGTCTAGTCTATAGTCTAATCTATAGTGTTATCTATAGCCTAGACTTGTCTATTGTCTAGTCTATTGTCTAGTCTATAGTGTTGTCTATAGTCTAGCTTGCTTGTTCTATAGAAAAATACTCTTAAACAGACCAACGTTTTCTACAAAAAAGACATATTTTTTGTTGTATTAAGTTTTATGAGTTTTTTTAACATGAATTTCTCTCTCTTTCAGCTTAAATGTCCACATTATCTTATTGGTGCGTGATCCACGCGGAACCATGCAATCTCGTCGCCATCGTACTTGGTGTGGTGGTAATCCAGACTGTGAAGATCCTCAAATGTTATGTGAGGATTTAGTGGCTGATTATAAACCGCTGAGATTTTACTAAAGAAATATCCTGCAAGATTTAGGTAAATTGGTTGCATTTGCAAACTAAGGTTTTTATATTAATTCAAAATGTTTCTCTAATTTCCTTTAGAACTTTAAGATACGAAGATTTATCCTTGGATCCATATGATATGGCCCAAGAGGTATTACAATTTTATGGTTTACCATTCGATCCATTGGTCGAAGAATTCTTAGATACTCATACCAAAGTGAATATTGGTGGTGTTAGTTCAACATATCGTGATTCGAAATCAGCACCGTTTCATTGGAAACAAGATTTAAAACCAGAAGATGTAAGTACAAAGTCTTTGGAATCGAATGAAGAGCAAACTAGAGTATAGACAAGAGACTAGTTTGAAGACAAGAGTAGAGGTTAGACTAGAGACTAGTCTGGAGACTAGAGACTAATCTGCAGACTAGAATAGACAATAGATTAGACTAGAGAATATACTATAGACTAAACTATATACTAGACTGTAGATTAGTTTATATACTAGACTATGGATGAGACTATAGACTAGACAATAGACTGAACTATAGACTAGACTATGGACTAGACTATAGACTAGACTATGGACTAGACTATGGACTAGACTATGGACTAGAATATAGACTAGACTATAGACTAGACTATAGACTACACTATGACTAGACTATAGGACTAGACTATAGACTAGACTATAGACCAGACTATAGACTAGACTATAGACTAGACTATAGACTAGACTATAGACTAGACTATAGACTAGACTATAGACTAGACTATAGACTAGACTATAGACTAGACTATAGGCTAGACCATAGACTAGACTATAGACTAGACTATAGACTAGACTATAGACTAGACTATAGATAGACTATAGGCTAGACCATAGACTAGACTATAGGCTAGACCATAGACTAGACCATAGACTAGACCATAGACTAGACTATAGACTAGACTATATACTAGGACTATTACTAATATATATATAGACTATACTATAATAGATACACTATATATATACACTAGACTACTATAGACTAGACTATAGACTAGACTATAGACTAACTATAGACTAGACTATAGACTAGACTATAGACTAGACTATAGACTAGACTATAGACTAGACTATAGACTAGACTATAGACTAGACATAGACTAGACTATAACTAGCTATAGACTAGACATAGACTAGACTATAGACTAGACATAGACTAGACTATAGACTAGACTATAGACTAGACTATAGACTAGACTATAGACTAGACTATAGACTAGACTATAGACTAGGACTTAGCACTATAGACTAGACTAGACTAGACTATAGACTAGACTATAGACTAGACTATAGACTAGACTATAGACTAGACTATAGACTAGACTATAGACTAGACTATAGACTAGACTATAGACTAGACAATAGACTAGACTATAGACTAGACTATAGACTAGACTAATAGCTACGGACTATAGACTAAGACTATAGACTAGACTATAGACTAGACTATAGACTAGACTACTAGACTAGACTATAGACTAGACTATAGACTAGACTTATAGACTAGACTATAGACTAGACTAGACTATAGACTAGACTATAGACTAGACTATAGACTAGACTATAGACTAGACTATAGACTAGACTATAGACTAGACTATAGACAGACTATAGACTACACTTAGACTAGACTATAGACCTTGACTATAGACTAGACTATAGACTTGACTATAGACTAGACTATAGACTAGACTATAGACTAGACTATAGACTAGACTATAGACTAGACTATAGACTAGGACTATAGACTAGACTATAGGACTAGACTATAGACTAGACTATAGACTAGACTATAGGCTAGACCATAGACTAGGACTATAGACTAGACTATAGACTACACTATAGACTATACTATAGACTGGACTATACCCTAGACTATGGACTAGACTATAGACTAGACTATAGACTAGACTATAGACTAGACTATAGACTAGACTATAGACTAGACTATAGACTAGACTATAGACTAGACTATAGACTAGACTAATAGACTAGGACTATAGACTAGACTATAGCCTAGACTATAGACTAGACTATAGACTAGACTATAGACTAGACTATAGACTAGACTAGACTACTTGACTATAGACTAGACTATAGACTAGACTATAGACTAGACTGTAGACTAGACTATAGACAAGACTATAGACAAGACTATAGACTAGACTATAGACTAGACTATAGACTAGACTATAGACTAGACTATATACTAGACTATAGACTAGACTATAGACTAGACTATAGACTAGACTATAGACTAGACTATAGACTAGACTATAGACTAGACTATAGACTAGACTATAGACTAGACTATAGACTAGGACTATAGACTAGACTATAGACTATACTATAGACTAGACTATAGACTAGACTATAGACTAGACTATAGACTAGACTATAGTCTAGACTAAGACTAGACTATAGACTATACTATAGACTAGACTATAGACTAGACTATAGACTAGACTATAGACTAGACTATAGACTAGACTATAGTCTAGACTAAAGACTAGACTATAGACTAGACTATAGACTGGACTATAGACTAGACTATAGACTAGACTAGTCTAGACTAAAGACTAGACTATAGACTAGACTATAGACTAGACTATAGACTAGACTATAGACTAGACTATAGACTAGACTATAGACTAGACTATATACTAGACTATAGACTAGACTATAGACTAGACTATAGACTAGACTATAGACTAGACTATAGACTAGACTATAGACTAGACTATATACTAGACTATAGACTAGACTATAGACTAGACTATAGACTAGACTATAGACTAGACTATAGACTAGACTATAGACTAGACTATAGACTAAACTATATACTAGACTATAGACTAGACTATAGACTAGACTATAGACTAGAATATAGACTAGACTATAGACTAGACTATAGACTAGACTATAGACTAGACTATAGACTAGACTATATACTAGAATATAGACTAGACTATAGACTAGACTATAGACTAACTATAGACTAGACTATATACTAGACTATAGACTAGAACTATAGACTAGACTATAGACTAGACTATAGACTAGACTATAGACTAGACTATACTGACTATAGACTAGACTATAGACTAGACTATAGACTAGACTATAGACTAGACTATAGACTAGACTATAGACTAGGACTATAGACTAGACTATAGACTAGACTATAGACTAGACTATAGACTAGACTATAGACTAGACTATAGACTAGACTATAGACTAGACTATAGACTAGACTATAGACTAGACTATAGACTAGACTATAGACTAGACTATAGACTAGACTATAGACTAGACTATAGACTAGACTATAGACTAGACTATAGGCTATACTATAGACTAGACTATAGACTAGACTATAGACTAGACTATAGACTAGACTATAGACTAGACTATAGACTAGACTATAGACTAGACTATAGACTATACTATAGACTAGACTATAGACTAGACTATAATATAGACTAGACTATAAACTTGCTCTGTTTAGGAGCCTTTTTCTTTAGAAAAACTTGCTTTATTTAAGAGACACTTTAATATGTTTAATCTTTTTTCTTTTATATAGATTAATACATACAACAACATTGCACAAAAGCTATGGAATTATGGGGCTATCGTAAAATCGAAAATTTCACCGATTATGCCCGTAATTTCGATCCTATTGTTATGCCGCCTCCATTTACGTGAGACTCTTATGAAAAAATCCAGCAGCAGTCTAAACTGCAGCAGTAGCACCAGCAGCAACAACAGCCACAGCCGCTAAAATATCATCAATAACAGCAACAATAACATTATCAAAAAACAATACAACTCTAGAGTTATCACTCCTAATCATTTTAAACTCGTTTATATTTTATATTTTAATAGAGCTATAAGTTTTTTTTTTATAAAAATCATTTTTAATCCTATTATTGCTCTAATTCAAAAAAAAATTTTAAATACTTTTTTTGCAAAAACAAAAAAAAAACACATTTTTATTTAAGTTGTGATATAGTAAGTTTTAAAAATAAATTTTTTAAAAAAAATATTAAATTATTTTAAAATTAAAAGAAAAAGAAATCTCCCTTAAGGCATCATCTATCTATCTCATGTTATTATACACTTAAAAAAAAACACAGAGAATTTAGTTAAAACAAATTTTTTAACACTTTAAAAATAAATAAAAAATTAGAAAAAAATAAAATTAAAATAAATTCAAAGCTAAATAAGTAATTAGATAATGCTCCAAGTATTTTATAGCATTTTTTTTGGTAAAGCAAATAAAAAAAAATTATTAAAAAAATTAAAACAATATTTTTTATGTAATAAAAAATATAAACGTATACATAAACTTAAGTTTTGTTAAATTAATAATATAATAATTAAAAACAAAAAACTAAAATGTGCAATGATATTATAATTAAAAAAAAATTAAACCCGCATAAAATCGTAATAAATTTAGTTTTTAAGTAATAAATTTTTAAATTTTAAGCTTAAATATAACAAACACACTTAGTTTAAAGTTAGTTATACTTATACATATAAATAAATAATAAATTATTTTAAATAAAAGGAACATTAAACTGCTGTCGGTTTAAGCAAAATGCCTAAAGTTTCTTAGGCAAACAGTAGTTTTTAAGCGAGTCCTTCGAATTGTGTACTTTTTTTAGTTGTAGTTTTATTAAAACGAATTTGTTTTTGTATTTAGTTTATGTGTTTTCAGTTTTAGAGTATAAATATTATTATTATTATTATCTATATATATAAAATTCTAACGTTACTGACTGACTGACTGACTGACTGACTGATTCACTGACTGATTCATCATCGCACAGCCTAAACGGTTGAAGCTAAAGAGCTGAAATTTGGACAGGAGGTTGGTCTCCCGCCAAATAGATCCACTAAGACGGGATTTTTGGAAATTCGAATGTTTAGGGGGTAAAAAGGGTAAAAACGGGTAAATTCGGTAACCTTATATCTCCTAAACTAGAAAAGATAAAAAAACAGTTTAAAGCTTATCGTCGTTCATTTAAAAAATAAACGGACAGGTGTCTGGTACTTTTTTAAAATTCGGCCCTTTTAGGGAATAACGGGTAAAAACTGTATTTTGGTACTTTTTTCGCACCCCATGTATCTTTTGAACCAGTGCACATTCAAAAAATATTTTTGGCTCCTTCATAACTTAACGAAAAAATAAAAATATGAATTTAGTACTTTTTGGATATTCGGACGTTTAAGGGGTTAAAATTGTACCT